CTCCTTATAAAATGATCTACAGTTTTTACAATAATAGTAATAATAATAACAACAACGATAATATTTTCTCTTTAACACTGTAGGGCTTTTAGTGAAAAGTGTTTAATCAAAGGCGCACTGTGAACGACGCTTTATAACAGCTGGATGGGTCGGAGGATCTCTGCCCATTGTGCGCTTTTACGCACGGCTATTTCCTCTTTTCTTAGAACGAAAATTCAAGCAACAGTAAATTGGACATCATAAGAAACTTAACGTTAAGTGTTTATGACAAACTCTCTATGGTTTGCAAAAAGTTGCGTAAATGTATTTAACATACGTTGCGGTAACGTTAGGTCATTACGCACCGAGAACCATGGGTAGATTTATTAAATCATGCGCAACTGACAGCAAGGCTTCTCCCTCGAAAATAAAACACCGCTCTAACGAGCAAAGAGCATTTCAATACCAACATGTCAACTACAAACTGTGTGATTATCGACAGTCAGACTTCATCTCCTTTACTCGTCCCTAACAACATCGATCTCTATTCTGAGGAATATCTAAAAATATCATTTCAGATATAATGTGATACACAGAGGACGAGGTGTTTCAGCATCATCACCGGATACAATAAGTCAAGCTTCAGCAATAAAAACAAACCAACTCAAGGCCCCATCCACACAGAGGAACGCGCTCTGATCACACCTGTGCGTCCTGACGCATTCGGAGCAAACAGTTCCATCGTTTCCATGGTGCGCAAGTAAAACATATTTTTAGCATTTTATAAAATTCGGCCCAGTCGCCATCTTTTCTCGATGCACAACAATTTGAACAATTTAATGTCCTCAAACCAAAATAACTGTGTTTTCAATTCACTGCAATAATTGTTAATATATTCTTAACCTGTCCCGGGATATTTGAGACATTCTGTCCATCAAAGAGTAGTTTTACACGGAGAAAAAAAAAGTCTGTTTTCACCAAATCGCTTTTTTTCCAACAGGCCAAATAAGATGGTGTTAACTGTCCACCTTTACATTCAACTTGTTACACTGATTTCTGTGCTGATAAAGCTTTTAAGGGAGTGAATCAAAGAAGCAGTAAAAGCTAAAATAATAAAATAACATTAGATGTAAAAGTTGTCTCACCTGCCCGGCTGTTGTCCAACTCAGGGGCGACTCCCATCCGCAGGTGTCCCTCGTTGAGCAGCGGTCGCCTGAAGGCCATACTCACCTTCTCCGGGTTTCCACAATAGTTCAGTGATCCAGTAGTTGTTGTTTGTCCTGTAGATGCTGTAAAGCGCTTCAGTTCTCCAAGAAAGTAAAATCTTTCCACAGTTTAGGGTTTGCAACGATGTCAATTCGTGTCAAAGGCCAAGTGAAAAGGGAAAGATTAAGAATCGTCTGCAGCTTTTATACCTGACCTCAGTCGGGTCATCTTCTGTTGCCATGACATTTACTGACGCACATGCGTTAAGTGACACAGAAAGATAAATATTAGTTTATTATTAATATTATATTTCCATTTTTCTCATTTGTTAAATATAATTCCATTTCATTTTTGTCAGTCCTTTATTTTTAACTATTTATTTTCATTTCATTATACTCCAGCTGTTAACATCAGTTGTGTTGTTTTTTTTCTTACATTCTGAGTTATAATTACATTATAAACCTCATACAACTTGCTTCTGCAATACTAATGCCAATACAACAAATCTGACCATGTCATGTTAGGCAAAGTCATTTCTAATGCCAAATGTCTGTGACACACTGAAGGCCAGAGCTCATTTTTTAGCTTCTACCTCCATTGCAGCACTGAAAAGTGTGGAGCAGCTTATTTTTTACCCTGACAGGCCAATCAGAAGCACTCAACAGAATATAATCAGTCATAACAATTATTTACATGGAAGCATCCAGGTCAAATTGGCCAGCAAACTTCAAGGTTGTATTCACATTTGGTGCAGACTTTCCACAACACAACAGTGTGCACAAAGTCAATGAGTTTTAGGAAGGAAAAAAAAAAGGTTAACCAATAACAAAACATAATGAGAGTTAAATATGTCTCTCCCAAGTCCCCCAGCTGCCCTTTTCAACTTAAAATCCACAGACTGAAGCTGCAACACTGTTGCAATTCATATCAAATGGAAATATTTGAACATAGTATTTTTGTCACTGCTGGCTGGTTCAGTGTGCATCTCATATCTGGGAAAACAAAAGTAAATGACTGCATCCATCGCAATAACCTCCTTAATACCATAATAACTTATTCTCAAGAAGGTATGGGTGAGAATACTAAGGCACCATCTGTGGGCCCCATGGAGCCTTCGTTTGCCTGGGGCTCCCAAATCTTCCCCTGGCTGCGAGGCTGCTAATTTTACTGACATATGGCCTTTGATTCTTACCATACATGCCCTGTTTTTCTTACCTGTTCTTGATGTGTTTAATAAGATAGACGTGAGTGGGGTATGCAGTATGGAAAGACCTTATGGAGCTGCATTGTGAGATGTATACGATTCAGTGTTGAAAAATGAAGGATAAATCATATTCTCATATCTCTGCATTTATTTGCAACATTTTCTTGAACCCCTGCTGTTATATTGAAAAAAAACACATCCATTATGTAACGGATCAAATTGACCTGCACTGTTTAAATACAGCTCCTGTCAGGAGACGGGTTAAAACAAACTACAGAGTCTCCAGTCATGCCAGTGGCTGTGTGAGGCTGTATACACACAGCAGTGCATTGAGCTAAAAATGCTTTACATCAGCATGTTCACAATGACGACGCTAACACGCTGAAACTCAGCAGACACAATGTTTAGCATGTTCACTGTCTTACTTTGCCCTTTAGTGTTAGCATGCTGATATTTGTTAATTAGCACTAAACACAAAGTACATTGCAGCTGAGGCTGATGGGAATGTCATCAGGGGATCAGCTGAGTCAGTGGGATTCATTCTCTGGGAACCATAGTGCCAAATTTCATGACAGTCAATCAAACAGCTGTAGAGACCAAACTGGTGGACTGACGGGCTGACATTTCCATCAATGGAACCATGTCCCTAGCATTGCTAAAGTTGTATTTGGTACACACATTGTATGATATATAACATACACATGTAAACGGGTAACATCTCCAAATAGATAAATAGATAGATGTACTTTATTTTTTTGGGGGGGGTATCGATACTAGCACCAATAGGATTGATACCAAAAAAAAAGGATCCATCACGTTAGATGATGTACAGGGCACATGAACATTCTTCTTTGTGCATCTCTGCTGCTGGTGTGTGCATGCGTGTAGTGATCCTAATTCACAGCAGAGTTGTACGAGTTGTTGTTGCAGGGGGCTGCAGTCAACAGTATACACCATGAACAGGAGTGGGCTGAGCTCACAGCCCTGGGGGGCTCCGGTTGTTGAGCACTACAGTGGAGGAGGTCTGAATCTGTCTGTCTGTCTGTCTGTTTGTGAGGAAGTCTATTATCCATTTAATTCCCTTACATGATATGATATGATATATATGATAGTATATAAGCTGTTGTCAATTAAAAGTATTGATATGGCCCTGGTATTAGTTTGTATCGCATTGAAACCATTTTTCATACCATTTTGTGGTATCACCCACCCCTAGCGCTGGTTTTAAGCTCACCCTGAACACTTAAGTCACCAGACTCTTCACTTCTTTTCGTTATTTCCCTCCACTCTCTGTCCTTTCGCCTCCAGTCTCTGTACGTTTACGAAGCAGATTCATTAAGCCCGGGGTACATGCAGATTTTCAATCAAGATGAAACATTTTCATCTCATGAGGACATTGTGTCAACTGGACCCGTCTCAGGCAAATTCATGTCTAATCACATATTTCCATAGACTTTGTATGCAATCACCACCTCTAAAATTCGCTTCGCCTTATGTCTGAACACAGAGTAATGGTGTGAACAGATTTTTATTTGATTAAAGGTGTATTTACATGTCCATATGATTGTTGAAAGGCTTGTTGGAAGTCTGGAGGATGCTGTCGCCAACTCAGACTGCTGAAGCCCTATTTTAGTTTCAGTTGAACTTTAGATCATATTGTCATAAATGACTGTGGGTTTTGTCCCCCAGCTCAAGTAAGCACTTCACAGCCAGTATAAACAGCAGGAATTATTACAGTGACCAATAACTCTTTCTTTGTTCAATGTGAATGTTGTATAACTTCAAGATAGACTCAAATCCAACAATCCTTTAACTCTCTACTACATGTCACATTGTCTTTCTACAAAGTATTTTCTCTAAGAAGCTTTGTCCACACAGCATTTCTTCTAGCTGTGATGTAATTCAGTTTCTCTCCAGGGAGCAGTAATTGTTATGTTGCAGAATTAAGCTCTGTTAAGTAGCTTCAGCCCAACCATTGATTGCATGTGCACAAACACGTCCAGCTGTTCGCACTGTTGCTCACAAGCTGAGGACCTTCAGTACGGCTACCAGAGGGTCCGCTATCGACACCTGAAGGTCGTATGTGTGAAATCTGAAGCCTCTAAACTGCTGCAGCTAAAGCAAACCTGGCTGATGACCGAGTATCTGAGGCAGATGTGAGCCACGCAGTTAGAGCCCTCACACTCATACTTTCCGCTCCCTACTATCGACCATCAGACATGATTACAGCCCTTGCTCTATGATCCAGTGCCTGTCTGAGCCCACTCCTTTGATTTCTCATGATTCTCTCCTGCAGCCACAGTAATCAAACAAGACGCTCAACTCAGACAGAGACTTGACCCTGGCGCGACATTTGTTAAAGTCATACTGCAAATGGGAACAATTTGTCAAACATCTTCTATTTTATTCAGAGGGAATGAGGACGTTTCACCAGGAACTGCTTTCTCTCAGGTCATATTTTACTGCTGACTGGCGGTAAAGGCAGAGATTTATTCAGTCATTTATTCATCTATGGGGGCAATACAAACAGTACTTCAGATATCAAGAACAATAATAACCTTCCGTTAGTGATGGCTGTGACCAAACAGGCAGTCAGACCATTACCAGGATGTAAGAAAGTAAAGCAATTTAATGACATCAAAAAACACCAATTAACATTCTTAACATGCAATGGCTGAATTTTTACAAAACATTGCAAATTTTCTGAATATGGTGCTAAAGTTAATGCAGAACAACATAGTGGTTGTGGTTTGATTGGCAGTATATTGAAAGTAACAGAGTCAGGCTTGTTAAGACTGGTGTAACAGTGTGTGACTACAGTATATTGTCTGTCAGCAGGGTAGGAAGCCAGATTACAGTAATCTGATTACAAAAAGAGTCTAATCCATCACAGGAACTATACACTTTCTTCTTAAAGGGCACTCCACCAATTCACACATGAAAATAGTTACGTTTATTGATCATGGAGGGAACTACTCAGCGGACATATACCGCTCTGGAGTTTAAAAAAATAACCCTGATGATGTCATGGTGATGTCACCAGGGTTAGGATTTTTAGACTACAAATGAGTGCGTTACTGGGGGCGGGGACTTTGAAAGACTCTGGTTTTTACCTGATAGCATCTTTCTAATGAAAGAAAGATGAATTATGGGAAGTGTGGGATCTAGCACTGGAGTTTGATGTACACTAGGGACTGTTCTGATTTTGACCAACATTATTTAAGAAAAACAACAGATCACTGGAGTACCGCTTTGATGGAATCGTTTGATGTCTCGGGAAATGTTTGGATGAGTTAGCTTAGCCTAGCATAAAGACTGGAAATAGAGGGAAACGGCTAGTCTTTATGCTAAGATAAGTTAGCCGACTGCTAGCCGTAGCTTCATATTTACTCTCTGAACAAAAAGCCCAATGTGTAAAATTATTTCTTTAAAGACTTTGTGGCGACCTGCCTGCCACCAGCTATTGGCAGCAGTAGCATTGTAATATATTTTGTCTTTAAACTGGACAGAACTGTAATTATAGTTCTAACACAGTTTTAACGTGTCATGGATTACATTTTTGAAAGTCTTCCAGATCTTACAGCAGTGACGTGTAATGGGCTGTTACGGTAAGCACAGACTGAGGTTTGTGATTTATACTGTCCAATGGCTCTAAATGCTAAACAAGACATAATAACTAAATTATATTTTCTTCTAACATCACAGGGTGATTCATGACTCGAGAATCAGTGTTTGTGATATGTAAGGATATGCAAATGTCCTTGTTATTTTGTCAGGTATAAAACCACTGGAAAAAAATAAGTTAATAGGCAACCTTTATACACATCTTACATCATATTTAATGACTCCATTTCAAATATAAAAGGTCAGTAATATTCACTCCAATTGAAAAATATCAACTTGATATGCCCACTTATGTGTGGTCTGCTACAAGATGACATCGGAGGCAAAGCTGCATATAATGATGTGCAATGGAGAGTGAAACATTTGTACAAACAGTACTGCAGCTGAAGTAATGGAGATAAAAAAAAAAAATCCAAGCCCTCTAAATTTTTTGTGTAATAATAATTATAAAAAAAAGACAATTCGCACATACAATATACACTATATATACACAGTATTTAGTAATGGCCATTCTGTTGCAACTTGACAAAACAGAGCTTTATAAAATGAGAGTGGCAGTGTGCAGTTGGCAATGACACATTACATTTGACACAAAACTTGTGCTCGGTATGGATAATGTCTGTTTCCTCTTTCATTTGTTCCTCCCAGCAGGTTTAATGAAAACGGTGTCCGGGGGACGATGGATGGATGGCGGTTCTGCTCCTCATGCCGGGGTCTGAACGGTGGCTTTGATCTCAGCAGACACCCTCTTCTCCTTTCGCCCGGCGTATTCGCCGATAAAGGAGCCGTCCTCGTTGAACTGAACGTCCTCGTCGCCGTAGTCCACCAGGCTGTCCCCGCTGTCCCCTGCTTTGATCTCTCTGCTCAGCGAGTGCTGGCTGCCCTTCAGTGGCTTCTCGTCGTTGTCACTGCAAGAGGGGCACAGTGGATTTAGAATCACCTCATTTCACCCATGGCTTCACTCTATGGTTTATTGGAGAGGATGGGAAGGTGCAGGCTGGAGCTATCACTGCCTCTATGATGAGCCTCTGTGACTGACATTACCTCTGGCTGACCAATGGGAAATAATCACACAGGCGCACATGTTGAGACAATATTAATCACTACGCTGCGCATGCATCAATGCGTATGACAAAGCGACGACTGGATGAGAAATGAGATATTGAGGGGATATTAAACTGGTGCTGATTTTTGAGGCTGCACATGCTGTGGTCCGGTGACGCATTTTAACTGCCGGACCACTAAACATAACGCGCTTTTATGTGATTAGTTTCATAAGTAACTTTCTGGATCCTGACCCTGGAGCCACTTGCACCACCTGTCGGTAAAGTCAAACCCAGCCTTGTTATATCATAAGTATTTGCTAAGTGGAGATCGCTCAGTTAAAATGTGTCACAGTGCACAAATGAGTTCTTAGCTGTAACTAAATATTTCAGTGTCAGGTGTAGGTAAGGTATTATACCACAAATTATAAAACGATATGCCAATAATGTTGGCTGACCCAGTCTACATGAGTACTGTTATGGACTGGATGACATATCAAGAGTTTGTGTTACGTTACAGTGTCACAGTGTTCAGAGATGTTAGTTTATTTAGAGAGTTTAGGATAAAAAGGGTCTTAAAAAGCATTCATACTTTCATTTAAAAAGGATGGTCACTTAAAGCATAAAGCATTACTTGAATGAACTCACTGAGTTAGATGGGTTAGATGGGGATGGATACAACTTGCATTTCTGTACATTAAATAGAGAATTGAATAATGTGTGGACAGATTTGTAAGCCTTCACCACCCATGCTGCTGAAGTTTTTGGGCCAAAATGGCTCTTTTGAAAGAAAAGGTTGCTAAAACAACTGTAAACAGAGGGAAACAACTAGCCGGCTAACAAAATCCACCTACCAGCACCTCTACATTAACATACATTATATGTAGCTTTTTAAAAACAAGCTTTATAAAGTCTCATGGTCACCGTACAGTTGCCAGGCAACCAGTAAAGACCCGGCCAAGACATAGTTTCTGCCAGTCTTTGTGCTAAGCTAAGCTAACTGGCTGCTGGAGGTAGCTTCATATTTTCCGTGCAGACATGAGAGTGGTCTAGATCGTCTCATCTAACTCTCAGCAAGAACGTGAATAAGTGTATTTCCCCAAATGTTGAACTATTCCTTTAAGTTTACTATATCATTTGTTCCCCTAAAAATATTATTTTTGCAAGTTATGTTCCAATCTAAAGAAACTTCTTGTTGTACTATGTTGCTGTTGATGTTTTTTTTTTTATTACAGATGTGTCCCAGCAGGAGGTCTGCACATTACTGAAGTCTTTACAATCTGAGACACAACCGAACATCAGCAAAGCACTCGTTTGAAACTAACTAGTAGTTATAAAACACACAAACTTCATGATATATTTATTAATAGCTGGGGCAACCTGCACCTGGAATCAACGGGACAAAGTACACTGAGGCACTTTTGACTTCATCACATCAGGATTTGTTGTGCTGTGCAGATCCCACTGATTGGAGAATTACACTCATACTGCGGTAGATTGTTATGAATTGGACCACTAAAGGATTAATGAAACGTGCCCAGATATTACTACCCTGGAGATGAGCTGCTTTACACTGATTGGTTTCAGCCTCCTGCTGTGTGCTGGGCAGCCTGCATTTAGCTCCATCCGGACAGAAAATGGCAACATCCGAACGACCCTGTGGCTCCCTTTATGATGCAATGTCTATCACAAACACCACCAACACTGTATCTAAGCTCACAGTGTCCTATAAAGGGATGCTACCACTCCTACAACACTGAGGTGTAAACAGCTGAGGGATGCTACTGCTGTTTATCACATACTTTCCGGTTACTCAGTCCGTCAAACGTGTTGAACAGAAGAAGTGTAATGCTCCACTTGAACCTCGTGCATGTGGGGTTGTCTTTTCAGCGAGAGGAGAAATGCAGAGAAAATTACTGAGAGAAGAGGATGGAAAACGACCGCTAGCAGAAGAGAAAATCATACACTGTTGCACGTGACTTGCAGTGAGGTGGTGAAATAGTGCTCCGAGGGTTAGGCTTACCTGTATTCACAAAATGTGTCGTCATTCATGCCCTGGGATTCCACGTCTGGGTGAAGGTCCTCTTTTTCTTTTACTGCTCACAAAATGAAGAGAAGATATCAGTGATTTCCACAAGAGACGGCTGCCAATGAAGATCACTGTGTCCCCTGACTGTTACGTTGTTTGAATAAGTCTGAGTCTCAGTCCCTGATTCCCTGCACTTATTCAATGAATGAAAGATCATGCAAGCCTTAGAAAAGATTGCAACGTGTCAAATAAATGTTTCAAATAGGTTTGAATACATTTGGATATCATGTTTCCAAATCTATTCTAATTCACTTCTAAAATTCAAGCTTTATCTTCTATAAAACATTATATCTACATGTTCTTTTTTAAAATAAATGCAGAGCAAAAACACAATGCAAATGAAATGTATAGTTCTATATGTGATGTAACAGAAAAGAAACACACGGCTCGGGCAAATGAAAGAAAAGGTTGCTGCAGCTACGGGTGATAATGAGAACTTAATAAGAAAACAAAGGACAGAGCTGCGTCTCGCTCTTTTTTCTGCTGACGAGTGAAGCGATCGCTGCCCAGATGACAACCTGATGGCCATTAGCTGTGAATAATAAAGCCGATAAGGACTCTCGTGTCCCCAATAGGAGGAATAACATTGAGATACCACAGAGCTTATGTCATCATTCCCTGAGCAGCCACCCCGTGTGCAGCATTTGCATTTTGTCTCGCTGTGGGCTGCACTTTGTTTAGATTGTAGCTGGAAAAAGCTGCATGTCTAAATGATGCAAAATTCAAAGGCCGGACATACAGTAGAAATGCTCATTTTCCTATCAATACACAAGCCTTTTTTATGTATAAATTTGCATTAAAATAATTCTGTGCCCCGAAATAAACAAAACTTATCAGCTTACGTATTCCTTTAATAGCTTCGAGAATGATTTATAATTTCTTTCATAGCAACAAACGGTGAAGTGGAAACATAATGATCCTCAAAGCAGCAATTAGTATTCAAGCAAGCAAGGTGATGTGTGTGTGCTTATAAGTGAGCACCTACCAGAATACTTCCCTCCTTTATTTCTGTTGACAAAGCAGGCGATCAACACAATGAGTGTGAGGAGAGCGATGGCACACATCAGGCCGATAAACCAGCCCTGGGTGGATATTCCTCCGTGGATGCTGGCCAGACCTGAGGAGAACAAAACCCGGTGACTTTGACACGCCTTGGCCTTTTCATCGGGACACTTGATTGAATGTTTACGATCGACAAAGCCTATCTGATGCAAAGGCAGGAGGTGGCAGGGCGCGCCGCTGATGGAAACGGTCCAATATTAATATTAAACAGCTAATCCTGCTTGTCTAATTAATCAAGTAAGGAACGCTGTACAAATGTAATTCCTCTCAGCCAGTCCGCGCGGCTAAATTAAATCCTAGTGACACCGCGAAGGACCACACACCGCGGCTTGAGTCACCGCTCAAGGACGCACTGGGTGCAGTCTGTTCAATGAGAGGTCAATTAGTTTTGCCTGGCTTTACTTTGTTTTCTTTTAGTTTCAGTTTGAGCTGTTTTGGTTTGCCTCCTCACCTGTTGACCCGGTCGAGATAACATCTTCAAATATACTAGAATTATCAACCCGGCTGTTTATAAGGCGCACAGTGTACTCTGCCCCAGGTTCCAGCCCGTCAATGATGTGGAAATTCTTAGAGGTGTTTAAGGCCTCTGATATCTTCCAGAGACCCTCACCTGTGCAGAGGGTGAATGATCAGGATGGGTTAGTTCTCATGGGAATGATATTGAATGTAGTGAAGATATGAATGAAAAGACATGAAGGAACATTTCAGACACAGCACATCTAAAGTTTCACCTACACAGTCTACTTCAGATCACTCTACCAACGTCCAGAAACGAACAGAGGAAAAAATATGAGCTTACGGTTGTTCATATATGCAATATAAAACTCCCTGTGCTCTCCTCCAGAAATCCAGCTGATATTTGCAAAGCTGTCACTAACAGCTGAGTGAACATTCAACAAGGCCGGGACTGACGGAGAAATGAGAGAAGATGAGAAAGGAGAGAAAGTGGCAAAGAGGGGTTAGTAAAGGACAAAGCAGATCAAAGCCATCGTGGAGGGGTTAGGAGTGTTGTTATTACGTGATGAAGGATGCTGCTCTTCACCTTCTGTGAAAGAGAACACTAACACTAACACTAGTGTAAGGAGGCATCAATTACGTCCGACAGAGGGGGACGTCGGGTGAATCCCTCAACAATAAAAATGACAAGAGTAATGTGGATATGGAAATGGGATCGCAGGTGGAGCCTGCGAAGCTAAATGGAGATCGGCAGCGATCTTAAAGGGAGATTTGTCATCAAAACTATGTGATGATTCCTGAATGTTTTATATAGTTCATGTTTTACATTATTGTCATATCACAGAGAGATATTCTACACGCCCACACTGGTCGATACTAGTTATACTCAAGGCCATAACCACAATTTTAGAAATACAGTACTGAGGTCAAATGACCCCTACTGAAAGGTCAGAATTCAGATTGCCTCTTTTTTTCCTAATTTTATTCATTAAATTCACTGTTATATTATATTTAATGTAATAATTCTGGAGAAATACCAAATCCTTCTGTTTAATATTAGTTTCCAAGTAATAGTCACTTTACAAGATGTTTATACTAATGATTATTTTCATTATGTATTAATCAATTGATTATTCAATGATTCATCATTTAGTCAGTGAAAAAATTAAATGAATATTTTTTTATTTTATTACAGAACACATTAATTAAACATTCCTAGAAAGTTTGCCAAGAGGCTGTTTTTCAGTGGACAGATGATACGAAGTCAACCTGCAACCATCTTCACTGACTCACTGGTCTCAGTGGGTACTGTTGAGTCCCTGTAATCTATGTTATAAGGAGTTCGGTCTAGACCTGCTCTATTTGAAAAGTGTCCTGAGATAACTTCTGTTATAAATTGGTGCTATACAAATAAAATTGAATTGAATTGAATTAAAATGCTAGCTACAGCCCTGATTATACTCTCTTTCTTTGATCTATCCAATTATTAGTGGGCTTTAATAATCATTATTTCATGTTATTAGCTTTGAAAGCAAGAGCATATTTCACTTGCAATAAGCTTCATCTACCTCCGACATATGTAATGTAGCCTTTTGAAACCCAACTGGGAAAATCTAATAATGTAGTGAATGATGTGCATCATTAGTATGGGGAAAGTATGCCTTGACAGCAGCTGTCTAAGCTAGTCAACAGAGCACAATCCACTTCATTTCCCCATGGCAAACATGCAAATCTTCTGCTGTGTCTCCAGCTCAGGTGCATTATTTGCTCAGGTTGATAATTCAGCACACACGGACACCTGCGTCTGTGCTGCCCATCCCAACCACTGCAAATGACACTCTCTGACTAATGTTGATGGATTAGTCTGCAACTACGGTAATTCCAATCATTGGAACTGCACGATGACTTCGACTGACATAGGCCCCTGAACTAAAAATATCCCAAGGCTGGCTGCCGTGTTTTGTCACTGCCGCGCCTCAGCTTGCTATTAAATGCTGCAGAAAGCAGCTGCTCCCCCAGCAGGGAGCTGATGCCCTGCAAGATGCTGCTTCAAAGTCAGCAGGCTTTTTTTCTTTTTATAAGGAGAGGCCAGAAAATATTCTGATATGGGAGCTTTCAACAGCTTCCACTTATCCACTTATCCCAGTGTCCTGTAAATATCACCCTCCCAGTATGAGCTCATACCTCCCCGGCACAGCCCAGGAGGACTTTCCACCTCACTATATTCTCTCAACTCGCATTCTGCCCCGGACAACCTCTTGTCTTGCCGTGTTGGTGTTTACCCTGTTGAAGATTACATGGAAATGTCAGGTGACTGTTGGGTCAATACACTGATGTGCACAGGGGGGGCTGGGGCCCAACAAATCAATCACTGACAATTAGACATATTTGTCCCCTTCAAGTGACTGCACTCTACAGCTACACTGTCGGCTCGGGATATAGATCTAGTATCCTAGATTTCCCTAGTGGTACAGCAGAGAAATTACAACCGGCTTTTTCATCAGTATGCACTTGTCAAACAATAAAATTGAGCTGTTAACCTAAAATTTCAACCCTTGTTTCCACTGGAAACAACATCAACTATAAAAACAACACATGAAACAGCTAATTAGCCCACATAATATTTAGTGTTTTTGTTTTTCAATGTACTTTAAGAGAAAAGCCAACCAAATGAGTCCAGGGAGGTCATCATGTCACCTAGCAACTGCAAAATGTTCAGATAAAACATGTATTTGGTTTCATATTTTTCCATATTTATGATTTCACTGTTTTTTTTGTTGTGTCACAATGTGCTGCAGCTCTACCTATGGTGGAACGAGTGGGTTTGGTCACTGGGGACTTTGGAGTGCTTGGAGGTGAGGGGGAAGCTGACTTGCCTGAAAAGAAAGACAGACCTTGTGGTTACAATTTGGATTAGAGCTTGGGGCACTGCATTCTACTGTTAGCACACATGCTATTTCCTGCTAAACTCTAAAGTTAGTAGCTAATCACAAAGGCTACATGTGAAATGCTGTTTAACTGACTTGATCATGAACCTTTTAAAAGTGAATTCATGTTCTTTTTTGCATCGTTAAAAGGAAGAAGGACGGATGTCTGGCGTGTCTGATGCTCTTCCTGGGTTTTGCTCTTAAAGCATCATTTATTTCCTCAGCTTGAGTTAGACAAGTTGCATTAAGTGTGCTGTTGCTAGGATAAAAGTCAATATTCGTTTACAGTCACTAATGAGCCAAGATTAATATGAATTTATAATTAGCTTACTCATTATCATTCGAGAGGAAGCCACAAACTTTATCTAAGAAGAAGTTGACATTTTTCTAATGAAAGGAGGCATCAGAGTGCTCTCTGCTGATGGCAAGGGCAAACAGCAGACAAGGTCAATTATCTGCAGAGGAACTGAGTGTTTGGCGCTTTGTTAATTCTGTACAGACAAAATAAAATGTGTAAAACTGTTTGACACTCAAAACCTGAATGATTTATTCAGGCCTGTAGCATCCACACCTGTCGACATTGCTAAATCTAAAGCATGCACGTGCTAGCTAAAATAATAATCATGACTGTTTAACATGTCATACCAACATACAGCGTATTTAAAAGTGTATAATTCCAGAATGAAGTATGTTATCAGCTGTATTTGGGACTGTATGTGTAGGTATGACATGCCACAGTTTCTGCATGAACACAGATCTACATACTGAGGCCAACAGTGGAAGCCAAAGTGGAAGCTGCGGGGTGGAAAAAAGAACAGAAAGAAAGAAAAAGACAGAAGGGACAAGCAATGCATTGCTAAGCAGACGTTTACACATTCACACACATTAACAGTACACACTGTATGATCAAAGGTAATGCTCAAAGCAATGCACTTTTTTAGTGGTTGAAGAGGAAGCTGGCAGAGGGCAATTAACAAAAACAACACGGACATACACACACAGTTATAGTACAGCTGCCACAAATAACTTTCATGCTCAAATCTTAAGTCCCCCCCCACACACACACACACGTGTAATAGCTCCACAAAATTGCAATTCAATACATAAAAAATGAGACCTTCTTCCTGTAATCACTTTTGCTGGCTTTTCAGCATGCAAATAAACAAACCCAAAGAGCCAATTAAGTTTCTTTCTGTGATTGTAAGGATTCTTCCAGTAAACACTAAGTAATCGCTCGCATATTCAACACCTGCAGTGTGTTTCAACAGTATATTGAGCTTTTTGTTTTTGCATAACAACTTGAATTACATACTAAATTTCTTTGGGTTGCATTCGTATTAAAAGCGCCACCCAGTTATTTATGCTGACAGTATCTGTTGCTGCAGTTCATTTTTACTGACACTCGGGTGAATCCAAGCGCTGTTTCTTGTTTCATTTCCCATCCAATCATTCATACCACTGCCCGCAATCTCACAGAAGCTTGACTTGAGCTTGAGCTCAACTATGGCGTGCAGTCCTCCACAAATGATATGTAATTGAAAAGAAAAGATTACATGCTACAAGCCGGCTCATTATGATTACTTACCCACCAACTCTTTCATGATTACACAATTTCAGTATCAAAACCTTCAGTTTCCCTCCTGCTCAAAGCAATTTTCTTTCTTAGCTGATTGTTTCATAGCTCACTTTCTCTGTCCAATCAATAAGCACTTGCTCTCTCATGACAGTGACAAATGAAAACCTTCACTACACCCATATAAAATTGTTTATCCACAAAAATTACTTACATGGAGATATGAAAAGCTTGGCTGCACAGGCATACATCATATTCCACTAGTTCAAAGCCATTTTGAAACAGTCAAATGGCTTCGTCACCTACTTGACTTCAATTCTGCCCAGCCAATTCTGCACCTTATAGTTAGTCCGTGTTCTCGTTGTCTCCACCAGGAAGCAACACGCTCACCCACCCACACATACAACGCTTAGTCAATTGCTTTCTGGACCCTCTATCACTCACTTGTTTCCAGGGTAGTGGTGCACTCCTCGCTGACAACGAGCCCGCAGCCCACCGTGGTGCAGGAGCGCAGGTACAACTTGTATTTGCTCACAGGCTCCAAGTCACGCAGGGTCCACTTGGTGGTGTCGGGGTTGCTGATGTCTACTGTCTGCAGGGGGCCCACTTCCTCGGTGTCATTGACTAGACATAAAAGTTGCCAAAAAAAGGTTAATGCTTAAGATTACAGTTCACAAAAAACAGAATACTGGGAATAAGTTGGTAACACATCAGCATTTAGTAGGGACCTAGAGATTACTCTGTACACTAGCTCATACCCTTGAAACAATGAGGAACTCCCACCTCGCCTACTACTAAACCCTGTCTCATACCCTGTAACTTGATTGTAATTACAGTGAACATGTGGTGTACAAGTGCCTGCTGTAGTTTACAGTCCACATAACTGGTACTTAGACTGTAATAAGAGCGCTTTCTCCCAATTTTTCTTTGTCAAGTGGTAACTGCCATTAGCATTGCTGGAATTACTCATGCATGCTTTTAGATAAGTTCATAAAAACAGAGAAAATCCGAAAGGTTGTAAATAATTCTTTCCTAGTGACTGAGTGATTCCCATACACACTGACGGACGAATTTTACAAAAGGACAGAGCGGCTTTTGTGGCCAAATAAGACAAAATAATATTTTCTCAAAGCACCTCCAAAGGGTGAAATGCACCTCTGACTGCAATGCCAGCACGTTTAAATTAGTTCAAATAAGTTTGCCACAAAATTGTCCCCTTTCTATGCAAATGAGCCTCACTCAGTTACAGTGAAAATGATTAGCGTCTTCTGAGAGCAGGTGGTAACTGAAGCGCATTTATAAACGCTTTCAGGCCCAAACATTACAGTGATATTGCAGCAGTGATTGTAGCCAGGCAAGGCCATAGCACATCACATCATATGCGCAGAGATGGTTCAGATAGTACAATACCTAATATTCACCATGAGGGAATGAAACTGCAAAACAACATAAAACCCACTGCTGTGAGAAACGGAGACGACGGTTACGCACTGTAACATTCCAGCAGAGAGCAGAGTAGAACAGAAAAAAGCTCTCCATGTGCCCAGAGGCATGAGCAAGAGTGCACACCCCAAATAACAGTCACTGCATGAAACTAGAGACATTCTGCAGACAGCACCAAATGGAAGAGTAGCAGGAGTTAATATAAAGTAGATACAGTTCAAAAGTATCGTTCTTCGAACTGCATATATAAAATGTTTTGACTCAAAGCGTTTAACCCTATCACGTGACATGCTACACCTTAAGAACAAATATTACTGGGACCACTACAGAAAACTGCAGATGGACATTTAAAAGATGCAAAACTTTTGCAAAAACCTTAATGGGTGCGTTTGCTCTGTAATATCGTCAGCGCAATATCTTTTTTTAGAGATGGACCTAGGGACCGGGCAGATATCTGTTGCAAGATGCACAATTCATGGTGCTTTCACCGACCGCGATCCATTCTTTGGGAATTCGCCCCTGAAATGTTTAACTTTCAGCTTGCACTCTGTTCTGTAGCAAAAGACTCTACAACCACTGGCATTTCAAAATACTTCCAACTGACAATCACAAGACATTTCAGCAATGCCAAAGAAGGCAAATGTCGCTGATCAGTTTGGCCTCCGCACTTGCTATTTTGGCTTTAGCAAAAGACATGCTGTCATTTGCTTGTTTGGCTTAATACCCCCTTCAAAATGTTATTTGCATTTAACAAACAAGTGGATTGTGTCCTGCACATTCACAACAACTAGAATGTATTGGTGTTGTCTCTGTCTACTTTGTGATGGGATATCATTTTTCACTACGTAAAGCAGGCCCAGTAGGTAGGGAGGTGGCATTTATGTTCTTTGTAATAAAAACAAACACAGCAGGTGTTGAAGTGACCTTTGCTTTGAAAGAGTTGCCACGTCTCTCTGGTAGGAGGCAACAGAAACAATGACAAGAATGTATTGGTCTGCTCCTGTTTTTGCCGGGACACCGCCCACTGTTATCAGACATCACGATTTTTTTGTTGGTTTTGTTTTGTCTCTAGGGACAGAAATGGTCCATTTTTGGTAAATTATGCAATCCAGGCTGCTACAGGGAAGAGGCCACAAGTGTCACGTTTCTACCCCATGGATGGATACTTTGTCACTTATCCGGAAACACTCAGGCCTGACAACTGGTGCACATGATCTTATAGAGTGAACTGGCTGAAGGGTGCAGACTTTGGCACTTCCACTGACTTCAGACAACAATATCTCCAAATATTCTTCAGCCCTGCTGAGCCAAATATCAGACCAAGACTTGCAGACACTGAAATCTGAGAATGACTCAGTTAGCATGACTTCAGCTCAAAAGGGAAGGAAAAACAGACTGAACTGAAGGTCATTTATAACTCCTGCTTGTGTAGATATTTCAGATCAATGCAGTGCAAACTTTGCTTAGTCCACTCTTGCCCTTACAGTAAGCCAAATATCAAATGGTCTTAAGCGTTAAGAAAAAAATGTGCAGAGAAGATTTGCAGCGTAAATAAAAACTATAGCTACTACTCTTGCCACAGCAAAACATAATACTATATGCATTGTAGGTATATGATAACTGCTTTCAATAAATAAGGAAAAAAAAAATGAAATGTCAGAATGGATGTTATGTGAGCCCTTCACCTCTGTCACACACTTATCTATGTCTTGTCAAGTGGTCTCACTAGCTTCCTGAAAGGCAGGCTAATAGGTGTTTAGTCTGTAGTGGCCTACAGTGCCCTGGGCTTTAGAGTGGGTTAGCAGCTCTTTAAGTTAGTCTGACCATGCCACCCACTCAGTGGTGAGGGGAGCTTGAGGATACATTCAGCCTTTACATTCAGGAATTTATTTAGAGAAGAATACTAGCAAAAACTTTCTGTATGAGGTCAGTGAACAGCCGTTATTATCAGTGTAGTGGAAGACGAAAAGCTTCTATCATTTCCACATCTACTGGACACATCCCTCTGCTTCTATCAGCAGGCTAGTATACTGATAAACTAACTCATCTTCTGTGTTGACAATTTGATACAATGATCCGGTTTCACAAAGACAATGTGCCATTTCAATACGTAAAGCAGGCCCAGACTGTTTCAACACGCTGGTTTTCCTGCATGTGTTTTAAATGTTGTTACAACAAGGCCTTCTTGTGAAACCTGTGAGATGTGAAGGCTGCTGTGAAGATGGGCGTAGCCCAAAAACAGCTGCGCTGCAGTTTGAAATTTCACTTGTGTGTCACTGATGATCCACTGACAGCTGGCTACATTATCCTCAACATTTCGCACATGACTTCCTTCAAGGGGACTTAAAAAAAAAGTCACACTTCAAAGAGTCCATCAGCTTTATTGCTGTGGCACAATGAAAACGTCCTCTCCTGAAATACTGTATGACACTTGGCCCTCTTGTGCAGCCGCCAAATCAAACTCAATTAGCCGGGAAATGCGGCACTACGATGATGTTGGAAGTTAGTCATTAGCTTGGTTATGACTTTTGTTTAAGGACAGCAGAAGTGTGTGCACGCATGGGATGTGTTCGGTGATGGTATCTCCCCGGGGACTGTGAGCTATGTTGAAGATGTCCCCTGCGGACAGGACTGGGTCAGTAAAAGTGGACCTTAACAGACTGTGACACTGTGGCCCTGGTCAGCACTAGCCAAGGCATGATCGTGACACGCAGGCCGGCAGACATCACCCTGACATGTTTCCTATACACACACTCTGATCTCACAGTGACCCAGACCCTATTAGAGCAACACAATGATTTTCCTCTCTTTGCTGAGGATCACGGGTTAGACAATCACCACCAAGTCAAAGATCCTCCTCCTTTCTTTTAGCAATACACTCCTGTCTGTATCAACACAATGGAATATAATATGGAGGTAGAGGTTGTGCGTTTAAAACAGTGAAGCTGTTCAGGTCTCTGATATGCAGTCACTGTTTCCAAATTGAAATACATGGCCTGTGTGTTTTTATATACACTCAATTTCTTTTTTCTTAAGAGGGTTCAAGCTGAAGAGGAACAGAGGAGTGTAAACACCATTAAACACGGGAAGAAACAATATATCCTCCTGGCAACAGAAAGGGCATAGTTGTTATATTTGAGTTAGTTAAGTCTAAGGATGAGGTGTAGGAATACGTACTGAGCTGATACTCCAGGAGGTACCCGGTGAGAATCCCATTAGGCTCCAATGGCGGTGCCCAGACCAAAGAGACAGTGTGCTTCTGTACATCTGTGACCCTGAAAACAGGATTTTTCTCCGGGACTGTGGGGGCAAAGAAGGTAATACACACAGTGAGCAGTCGAATTTTGCAACCCACTTTCTTTGGCTATTATTAGATTTTCCCTTCAGTAGTTGTGAATCAATACACTCCATGCTGTTTTTCCACAATCCTACCTCCCTCTGGGGTTTTGAAGTTGACGGGATGGCTGCCCGGGCCGTTGCCCCGCCCGTTGAAGGTCATGACGATAAGGCTGTACTCAGAGAAGGGCGTTAGTCCCGGTACGGCAGCATGGTTCCTGTCCCCCGGGATCGTTAGAGTGTGTTTGTCTCCGTGGCTTTTCTTTGAGTCCACCAGACTGCGCAGACGCCACCAGTTTATCTGCATAGTGAAAGAGACGCACAAACTTTGTATATCATAAATATGTATATGTGTGAGAGGACGCTGGATGAGTTATTGGGGTATTTTTCTCGGGGTCTGTGCCCTGAGCTGGCCAAATAAAGGAGACAGAGCGGGGTGAGAGAAGCAAACGTTTAGAGCAAGGTCAGGGCCATTCCTTTTAAGCTGTGTCTAAAAGCAAAGCTCTGTTTTTTGAGGTATTACCCTGTAGCCTCCCAGATGTCCATGTAACTTGTCCTTGTGTACACGCGTCCAGCTAACCTTGACCACTGAGCTGTTCATCACCTCCACAGCTACATCATCAGGTGCAGCAGAGGGAACTGCAAAGGCAAACACATTAGAATTTACAGTATGATGAAAGTGAGTCATGGAAAAACAAGAGCATTGAGTAAAGACTTGCAGATAAACCAGTTTGAGTTATACAGAAAAGACCTCAAATCCTTTCATACTAATACAACATCATAAATGTACAAAAGACAAGAAATACCAAAAATACTATTGTACTACCTCTATTTAGTGATGATCTATTCACAGGAACACCTATTAGGGACGGATATCACCTGACTCTACCCACAGTCACAAAAGCTAACATAAATGACAAAACCACCGAGCTAAAGGGTGTAAATACTGCATTTAGTAACACCATATTTGAGTGAGGACACAAGAGGAAGAGTCATGACCTGAGGTGACTTCCTGGGGGCAAGTCCAGAAGAAAGCTAAACACAGGAAATACAGTAAACTTCTGTACAGATTGTTTTACTCTTTTACTGTAACTTCTACAGTACACAACCTTGAAACTGAAAAGTCTAAGTCAAACTCCAAGGCTAAAATATTTCAACAAGATCAGAAAGCTTATAAATAAATCATTTCACAAAATCCACCTGAATACTGAGCTGAAAATATCAGAGTTAAGCAGAAAGGGGAAAAAGAAAGATTTTAATTAAACCACATCTTTCTCCATAAAATCACATATCCTTAAGATACAGTGGCAGCGAGAGGTGAGTGGAAAGTTTGTGAACCTCAATACGCAGGGACAATACGAGTTCAAGCCAGTAAACTCCAGACACATAATCAATTTGATCCACCAGGAGTATTATCTGCAATGTCTTTTCAACAAAAATAGCAACAAGAAAACAGATGCAAATATTCAAAAGTCTGGCTTTTTCTAGATGGTGCTCTCGCTCTTACTGAAACAGAAACACTTCCTGTTTATTTAATTCGATTTTTGACCAGAGAATGTATGGCTAGACTTGCAGCTGCTTAATGCTCCACTATGTCCACCAGCTCGCCGCTAAGTTTGCCTGCCGTTCGCCTGCCGTTCGCTCCCTAGAGCTACGGGGAAGTTGGGTGATACTTCCTTGCTGTTTCGTCATCCCTTTCACATTACTCATAGACCTTTTATCAAACATATTCGCAACAAAGATCACTACTCACAGTCCTCTCCTGAGTAGCCAGTCACTATCTTGGGGTCGGGGCCCCAGCCCTGATTGTTCTTTGCTTGGATCTTGATCTCGTAGGGCACAAAGGTGGGAGTGTTCTTCACCACAAACGAGTGTCTCTTCACCATGTGTTCCTGCCAGTCCTCCTCCAAGTCCTGTCTCCTGTAACTCACCTTATACTCCAGACCGGGACCATTGTGCTCAATGGGTAACAAGGGCTAAATAATGGAAGGATAAGAAGGCAAAAGAAGGAAGAACAATGGTGTGAATAGTTTCATAGAGACATTCACAGTTGCATAAGACACTTCTTGTATTTCACCGCTCAATGTCACTGCCTCTGTGGGATTAAAATGACAAGCTAGCCCAGTGAACTGTGCTTGGAACACTGGCAGTGTTTTATCCCCCTATCTAATAAAACAATGGAACAATTGACCTGGTCTAGCAGCATGGCTCTGCTTTGATATAGGGCTTGCAAGACATCATAGATGAAAAGATTTATCTCCACATGGAAGTTGGACCGTGAGAAATAGAACAAGATACCATTATCCACGAAAGCAAATCATTAACAGTGGAAGAGCTCATGAATCCAGGATTCAAGGCCTACGTTACCATGACAGGGCAACCAGATAATAAGTGAAGGAGAGATTTATCTTCCTACAATAAAGCTGAATATATTACTGTACATTTTAAAAGAAAAATGTCCTTTTCATAGCTCTTTTCTTTTTCTAATCAAAGGAGCAGCTTTCAATGGAAACCCATTCACGGTGATCCCAGGAAATGGTGTTTCTAAAGATCTGAACCACCTAATGAAATATCAAAAGTGGACCATTCTTATTTTCTACTGGTAATTGCCTATGAAACATTAAAACTTCATCCATGCTCTCTTGGAAAAATTCTTTGCGTTCCAAAAACGATAGCAGATGTGAATAGTTAACTATGTAAGGTAGCCGGCATTACAGGATTTTGCAGTAAGGGAATAATAAAAGAACAAACTCCATTTCTTACCTCCCAGTTGATATCCATTTCATGTGCCAAATGACCTTCGATTTTGATATTTTCAGGGTTCTTGTCAGGAGCTGTGGAAAAGAAGGAATATAGATTTTGTCGGCATTGTTAGTGAAAGAAATCTCTGCTGAATAGGCACACACGAGAACAGATTTTCAACAAAAATGGAATCAATTATGTAGCAGGTCTGAGTGTGTTACAGTTCACAGAGCAGCAGTGTTGGCAGCTCAAGTGGCCTGGAGGACCTTATCAAAAAGTATAATAAACAATGAAAGGAGGAAGCGTCAGACCTGCCGCAGGGGGTTTGTATCTCTCCGTGGGCTCGCTGGATGGACCCCTGCCTACAGAGTTCACCCCAGACACACGGAAACAATAGTCGACGTTGCCGTGGAGCTTGAGGACGGCCGAGTTGTGGTTCCCAGGTACTCGGAGCAGCTCCTTCCAGTTCCCTGGCTCCCACTGGCTTTCCTCATACTCGATAATAAACTCTGTTGACAGGCAGAAAGACAATCAGAGCGATCCCTCGCTGCTATGGCTTTTGCCAAAGGATTGCTTATCTAACCACCAGCTGCGCAGAAACCTCCTCAAACCCCTGCTCTGGGCTTGTATATTCCTCAGGGAGACTAATCGTAATTCATGCTTGGAAGAATCAATAATAGATTGTTCAAGATGGTATCAACATATAAGTCTATTAACATGCAGAATGTCGCCCAAAAATGTGTATGTCATATTAATACCATTCACTGCAAGAAGCACTGATTCAGTATGTACTTTACGTTCTGACACCTGCACACACAGATGTTCCTTTTACCTGTGGTTGAGCTGTTGTGATTGTCCCCAGGGTTCCATTTCAGTTTCACACTTTTGCTCTTGCGTTCAGACAGTACCAAGTACTCTGGTGCATCAGGAACGTCTGAAAACCATCACAACAACATGGCTTTGGAAAATCACAGACACATCAATCTCTGCAGCAAAAAAGGCCAAGGGAACAAATGTTCAATCAAATCATCCCGAGGATACCAGAGGATGTGGAACGAGTTGCATCGCTGCATAGGCTGCCACTATTTCTTTTAGACTTTAAAATGTCACAAATATCTCAGAAGGGTGATTGCCAGACACAGAACTGCACTAATAAAGCCATGGTCTGTGTGTTCATGCTCTGCTTTGATTTCCCTGACATATCGATCCATTCATGAATGTGTCATACGTTAACGCAGCACTGGGGGTGTCTGATCCTTTGGCCTGGGAGCAGAAATATTGCTGATATGTTAGCTCACCTAACACGATGAGCCACGCTGAGGCTGTGTCTTGGTCCACCGGAGTTCTTGCCACACATGTGTACACACCCTGGTCCCAGTGGCTTACATTGATAATCTGGAGAATGCCATCCTCCACAAAGTATCTGTTAACAGAAGGATGGAGACACCATATTGATTGACACACCTGAAAAGTAAAATGACTTTCCAGCTGGGATTAAGTCTGCAATACTGTAAAAAAAAATGAAGTAATATTCAGTACCCTACCTTGAATTCTCAGTGTAGTTGAGGGCTATCTCCATATCATCTTTTTCCCACAGGAGCTCAATGTCGTTTTTGAAGGACTCGTCGTACTCTGCGAGGCATGAGAGCTGGGCCGTGGTACCTATTAAGATCTGCAGGTGCTCCGGGGGTACGACTATTCTAGTGGGATCTTCCATAGGCACAACAGTATTAGTTACATTTCAAGGACTGGAAGCCGTTGCAAACACTTTTACACGTAAAACTGTTTACCTTTCACATAGAGCATGGTGTCGATGGCAGACGATCCTTCTGTGTTTTTAGCTAAGCACGTGTACTGCCCTGTGTCGCCTTTCTCCACGCTGTAGATCTCCAGCGACCCATTGTCGTGAACGGCAAACCTCGGCCCCTCCACGGATTCAGAGGAGTCGTCTTTGCTCCTGGAAAACATTCAGAGCAAACACCCATTAAGGGCTCAAGGTTCTCTCAGGTCAAATCAAATATGAACACAGCAGCGGTTTAAACGGATAAACACTAGACTGTGGCAGCAAAGAAGGAATAAAAGTTACTGAATAGAACATTAGGGTTGAGCAACAGAGTTACTTTGGCGTGTTTTAAAGAAACAGCAGTTTACCAGTATAGAAACCCACTGTGTGCAGAGGGGACTGTATGCATCGACCAGTTGAGATCTACTGCTCTCTGCTGGTGTGTGGGAGACAGGAACAAACGTACCAAGTGACAGTAGATGGAGGAGAGCTGAAGACCTTGCAGTGCATCATCACTCCCTTCCCCTCGACGGCAGAGTAATCTTCCCCCTCCTTGGTCAAAATCATGGGAGGCAGATCTGTAAAGACCATGTGGCAGAATCTAATCATCAATCTAAGGTTGTTAGAAAAAAAGCAGAGGGTGTCCTATGTGGGTATTCCACCACGGAGGGCCCTAGGTGTGGCCCTTAACTGCTGCACTTTCAGAACTCTCAGGCAGTAGACCTGTAACACTGAGAGACAGGTCTGCATTTTAGTGGTTATAAAACCAGATAAAACAATGAGGCAAATGATGGTTGATTGAGAAGACGACACTGTTGTTCCCTGTGCGTTCACTGTAGGCTGCTTTGTGTCAAAAAATGATTCAGCTGTCAGGAATGTGTCATTGTGAAAATGAAATCAAAGACGAAAACAATGGAATAATGAGTTAGCCGAACGCAAGCACCTTATCAGTTGTAGCCAAAGCCTCCCATTAAAATGGTCTGTCTCTCCTAATTGTTTACAAAGGCAGCAGCTGGGACTTAGCATTCAGAGACTGTCCAGCTTTATTAACTCCTGTGTCACCGAGAACAAACTCTCCACGTTTGTGCGGAGCGACGGAAAGCAACATTTTGTCTCTTCTGTTTTTTTATCTGCACTTGTAAAGCAGCACATGTTTGTCTTATGGCCCTGATATCAGTCTGGGATTGAGGGAGGAACTTGTTAGCATATAAATGGCAGGGAACTGGGCTTGTTGCTCTATAGGGAGAGGCGCTCGCCTGAATGAAGGAGTACAGCTTGTAGACAGGCCTCCATCCCTGGGCTCCTCACCGCTTTATGGGCATATGCCGACATCAACCCCAGCTCTATAGCTTGACACATCAGTCAGCAGTCTCCCAATGACTCACAGTGCCTGACAATTACTCACAAACTTGTACTTGATAAAAACATGATGGTGAAACTAAACTGATGAAAGCCGTGAACTAAAAGCTGTCGTACTTACTCATTATCATGATGTTTGCATTGGACAGGAGCGTTCTGTGTCTGTTGGAGGCCTCACACTGATAGACTGCACTGTCAGATGCTTTGGCGTTGCGTAAAAGTATGGTGTCACCCAACACCTTCCTGTTGGCTGCAGGGGCCTCTGCAATGGACCAAAGAGACATTCAGTCAACAGAAAAGTTGGAGATGGTCACTACTCATGCTGTTACACTGTATGCAGATTAAAGACTCAAAACTCCAGTTTAAATTTCCCCCCTTCTTATCTATACTTCACTGGCTACCAGAGGTTCAACACTACACTTGGCCCGCTCCCTTCCCTGGCCAGCTCTCTGCCCTGTACTGACTCTTCTCCCTCCGCACACACACATAGTGGAATGATCGTCCTGACTCAGGCAGAACTGCAGACCCTTTTCCAACATCAACAGACTTTTCAACTGTCCCCTGAGGGTTTCTGTTTTACATTGTTGGCACTTACTGAATGTTGCACTAGATAACCCTGTCTGCTAAATATCTAAACCGTAAACCGTATGTTATCGTATCTCTAAGTCTTAATTACAGATTACTAAAACTTTTTAGCCTCGTTGCAGAAGCTAATACGCCGTATCAAAGACAACACAGACCATTTGTTCACAGATTCTTGTGTGTTATGCTAGTAGCGGCTAATGCAGCCTTGTGCAGCTGGCTTCATGCAAAAATGAGAAGCGGGCTACAGAGGTCTGGTAAGCTCACTTCTTTTCTCACTCAACACCTTAAACCTTCTTTCAGTTTCAAACTTCTTCAGTCCCAATCAATGTGGACTCAAGTGACATCAGTACAACAGCAGTTTATCTGGAACCACCAAAGGCTTTATACAACTTTTTTATACATTCAGTAGCACTCCCCTTTTGAGTTCCCCTTTAATAAAACATGCTAACAATACTTTCATAATTTTACATCAAAATCTACTTTTAAGATTATATTTATTATTTATTCCTCATTAGTAGGGGAATTTATAATAACAAGCCTCTTCCAAAATTTGAAGAATCACACCCCTAGTCCAAGAAGCCAGGGCTGTCTCTCCTGCGCATTACTAAACACTCTCTCCCCATGTTATATGTTATGTAATATGTTGTAATAAAAAGGAGAGCAAGACAACATCAACATCTGGCTATTTTGTTCTTATTAAAATAACCCGATCATCAGGACCAAGAAAGGTTTTAAATAGTCAAGTGTGTCTAAAGTGAGGCTGTTGGGACTGACCCTGCAGAGGTACTCCGTTCACCCTCCATGTTATAGTCGGCTGAGGCGTCCCACTGGCAGAGCACTTGATGAGCACATCTGAGCCAATCATACTGAGCTGGCTCTCAGGCTCAGACACCCACTCTGGAGGCTCTGGGAAGACAGTCAGCATGATGAGTGTCATTATAAGAAAAAGCACTGAGCATTTACACAGAGTGGACAATATCACAGGAACAGTTATGCAATATATGTTATTCAGTACCAGAGTCTTGCTGCGTGGAATGCTACATTTAGAGATGACAGACAGATAAGAGCACTGCAGCTGCTCACTGCCTCACCATTAGATTGGCACATATTAGGCATTCTATATACGTCTGTATGTCTTTGTGGTAAATTACAGGATATCTTATACAAAAGATAATGTTTCACTCCTAGCTGCATCATAGTCATCTATATGTATATCTTACTTTAACAACCACAGTGCACATACAATGTACTAAGTACAGTACATTGGAGGTTTAGTATAATACTGTACAATTTTCAGGTAATCTACTTTACTTGAGTATTTTCATTCTCTGCTACTTTATACTACATTTCAAAAGGAAGTGTTCTACTTTTAACTTCACTACATTTATTTGGCATTTATTTAGAATAAATGAGCTTATAAAATAAAACACATTGTTAAAGATTGTAACAGTGGTATCTAACCTTTTTGTCTAGCTGAATTTCAAATGAATATGGGTTGTTAGAGATTTCCTCTCAAAACTTCTCAAATGGTTTCATTTAAATAAACGGTCTTAGAGGTTAAATTATCCAATATTTCACAAAAAGTAAAGCTTCCTGCCCTATTGATCATCATATAAACCCTCAGATTTATCATACGACCATTATGAGGGGCTGGATTCTTAGGTTGGGAAGAACTGGAATTAAGTACACAACAGTATACAAATCTTGAAATTAGCTCAACTTCAAGCAGCTTTTACCTTCAATGTATTAAAGTAGTATTAAAGAGTTTTTTTACATATTTTAATTTGTACTTTTACTTAAGTAAAGGATCTTTGTACTCCTTTTAGAACCGAACTTAATCATCAAACATTGTTTTGTCAGAGCTTCTGCTCTAATCGCTGCTTTGAAAAAAAGAGGATCTACTAATCAAATGACAACTATTACAAGTATGATTTCAAATAAGTCAGATGTGACAACTAAACTATAACTGTATCCCATGCTGTAGTTACCTTCTATTGTCACTGTGAAGTAATGGACAGCTTCTCCAAGTGCATTCTTTGCCTTGCACATGTACTTCCCACTGTCTTCCTGTTCGACTCTCGGCACAATCAGCAACTTCCCATGATTCTCCAGTTTTGCTTTAATGGGAAGTCGATGACCCACCTTCACCCACTCAACCTGTGGAGTTGGACTAACAGAAAGAGGGCAAAGAGTTAAAGAAAGATATTTCCTACATACATGACAGAACATACATACAAACATGTGATAACATCTTTGAAATATCAGTTTAAAAATAGTTTTGGTTTGTTTTTGGACAAAGAAAATCCTAAAATGTGTAATAAACGTTAAAAAGCAGTATGACTTACAATCCCTCAGCAATACACTCCAATTTCAAGTCCTCTTCTTTGACCAGCTGTGTCTCTGATCTGGCACTAGAGGGCGTCAGAAGAGAAGGTCTTCTCTGAAGGATTGCATTGGCTAAGGAAGTGCACCAGAGAATTAGACAGTATAATAGAAACCACACATGTAATGCAGTTTCCCAAAAGCTACACTTTCATATTCTCACACATGCCTTGTGCACAAAGATGTTAAGAGATGAAGCACAGCACAAGGTTTTACACTTAAAACTTCAAACTTACCAGTTTCAGGACTGGTGTCACTTTTTTCTGAAATGGAGGTGGATGAGACAAAACAAAAAACAAACAAAAAAAATATTGAACATAAGGACAGCATGGAAACACCATGACATACATCACCAAGATCAAAATCACAACATAAAACCAAGGAGATGCACATAAGAAGACAGAGTGACACTTGGATGGCTTTTGAAGTGTAGCTATGAATATGGACATGAACATGCTGGGAAATGATCACTGCTCTGACAGACACATCAAGGTTTGCATCATGCTTGTTTCAGATGAAAACAGTGCTCGAGTGAAGACAAAGAAGCTGGATTGACACGTACTTGTCTGGACAATTACAGACATGGCGTTCTTCTGAACGATGGTTCGTATTCTCGGGAAGGCGGCAAAGCAGCAGTAGTCCCTCCTGCTGTCCTTCTCCACGGCGTGAGAGAAGTAAAGGTCTCCGTTCAAGCCCATAGACACCCGCTCATCCTGTTCTATGTGCTGAAGACCTGAGCACAGAAACAGGATGATTTCATGGACATCTTTATTTATTTATTTATTTTCATATTATTGGTACTTAGTCTTAAAACCACAGGAGTGACCTCTGCTTTCACACTTTAACATACAGTTTTTACCCCGTTAAGCAGTGGTACAATGTACTTAAATACATTTACTCGAGCACTGTACTTCTGTACAATTTTGAGCTATGTATATTTACTTGAGTATTACATTTCAGAGGGAAATGTTGCTGTACCTTTTACATTTATCTGACTACTTTTCATATTAAGACATTACATACAAAATAGTTCCATAAAATTCAAAGAATTTAAATTTTTAAACCAGAGGTTCCCCAACTTTATGGCTTGTAAATGTCTATAAAACAACAGTGTCCCTGATTACATTTTGCAAATCCATGAGTTGCTAGCAGTTAAAAAGGATTTCTCTTCCAAATTTCTCTGAACTTCAAATAACTAAGGCACAAAGAGGTCTAATTTTCCAATGTTTATTTTTTTGTTTCTTCTTTTGTCCCCCGATGATGATCTCACAACTACTAAGATAAATCTTGTGACCATTTGGAGAGGGCCACAAGTCTGGAAAGCACAAGACTAATCTACCCATGTGTATATAAAGTAGTTTAAAACTTGCTCAACCTGCTATAACAGCAAAATGCTGGTTAGGCATTGATGCATTAGTATAAATCTGTCATAATATCAGTGACAGGGAACATCTTCCTGCAGAAAGGTTACTTTTACTTTGACACAAAACATCAGTGCTTTTACTTGAGTAAGATTTGGAATGATTGGAAGATTGGAAAGACTTTTGTGTGAAACTGAGTATTTTGACAGTGTTGTATAATACTTTTACCTAAGGAAAGGATCCGAATACTTCTTCCATCACTGCTGTTAAGTCCCTAGTATGAAATATGCCACATGAGGAACTTTTGGATCGCCAGATTTATTTTTGGTTTTGAACAATGTCTGTTTGCACAGTTGGACTTGGACTGCTAGACGTACTTTAAAGACAGACCAGGTTCAGATCAGTGAGGTATAATGGGTTAATCAGTTCAGGAGGTAAGGGGTAATAAATATATCAAAAGCACATACCACAGCAAATCGTAGGTGAAAATAAAAACTGTATCCTTAAATACTTTGCACTAAATTGCACCATTATTAATTTATTAAAAATAAAGGGAAGCACTTACTGATAGTCATCCAGTAAATCTGCAGAGGAGGTATTCCTTTAGGTGGGTCACATTTCAAAGTAAAAGGCTGGCCCTCCTCCACCACAACAGGATCAAGTGTCTCTTTAGGAAACTTTGGGACATCTAGAAAAAAGAGAACTTAATGTGAGTGCATGAAGCCAGACATGAATGAATAAAATACACTATGCACTTCTCTTCCTCTCCAGAAGATGGCAGTAATATCATTCTTGTATTCAGTGGGAGGCACAGCATTTCTGAGCTCTGTATCATTCACCAGATTGAATTCTATGGAGTTTTTTTTTTAGGTTCTTGGCCTGCAGAAACAAAACAGACATCACTACCACTATTGTGTACGGCTTGTCACCACTGCTGAGTGCTTGAAGCCCAGCCAAATTTAGTAAAAGTCCCCCTTGGAGTGGATTTTCTTTGAGAATTTATGTGTTGTGCTTGTGAACAAAATGAAAAATGTAGCAAAGGAAATGATGGAGAGGCTAGATCACATTCGATACAGAGTTATGGATGAGATGCTGCAAGGGGTGGGGCGCTCGGGAGCCTCAATGACTTTCTGCCACGTCCAATACAATGAAAAGCTCACAATAGAGGGGTGCAGTCATTACATAGGACTACTGGTCCTGAATCACTCTGAAAGCACTGTAACAGAGCACCACACACAGACAGACACACACACACTCACACACTCTCTCACAGATGTATGATACTCACGGGGCACAATGAACTCAATCTCCTTCGATATGGCGGTCCCCAGTTTGTTTGAGGCGTAACAGCGATAGGTTCCCTGGTACTCTGTAAGGTTCCCATTATTGGGTATCACAAAGGTCCCAGAATTCTCCTCTTTCATCAGCCGGGGGTCTAGAAAGGGGTCGAATTCCTGGCCATTCTTCATCCATCTGAATCTACATAAAGAAAGCCAGCATTGAGATGTCAAGTTCTTCAGCTAAGACTGTAGAATGCCAATTTTCCAAAGTCACAAAGTTCCAAACCAAATACAACATGTTGTTGTTGTTGTTGTTGTTCGTTATTGATGTCTGTCTGCTAATAAGAACTCCACTCTCTCCTCCTCCTCCCATCTGAAATGATGCAGGGCTCGGTACTCACTCTGGCTCGGGATTCCCTTTGGCTTCACACGTCATGGGGAAGCTCTCGTCGAACGGGAAGGCGATGAGAGAGCTGGGCGACTGAGCTGTTATGGTGGGCAGCTGCTCAACTGGGCAACAAACAAACAAGCAGGAAAACGTGAGAACCACAACACAGGCCTCAATACGGAGCTCTACTCAGAAGTATCTCATATTCAGAATGATACTAAGGCAGTGGCTCCCAACCTGTTTGGCTCGTGACCCCTACAAACAAAGCAACGTCTGCGTGTGACCAACCATCGCAGGTTACATGACCTTAGTGGTAATAGACCTGTGGGTACTTCAACTTAATATTAGAAATAATCTAATATGGGGCCCCCGGATAGCTCAGTGGGTAGAGCTGGCAGCCCATGTACCAAGGCTGAGTCCTTGCTGCAGCGGCCCAGGGTTCGAATCCGACCTGCTGCCCTTTGTCTGTCTTCAGCTGTCACTATAATAAAGGCAATAATAGCCCAAAAAAAAATATAAAAAAGAAATAATCTATTATAATAATATTGTGAATCGCAATTATATCAGCCAGGATAATCATGACATGAAATGTTCGTCATCCCATGCCTCATGAGGAAAAATAAAGTTTTGCCTGACAGAAATCGTCTTGTGACCACCGCTCTCCTTGGGATCCTTTGCGGGGTCCTGACCTCCAGGTTGGGAGCCACTGTACTATGATGTGTATTATTATATGTCTCTTCAAGCAGAGTTCTATCCCAAAACATTACCTTAAAATATTGATAACTTCACTCAAAATAACTAAAACATGTATTATTTTGTCTATTAGTTAATGGTTTTCCATTTAAATGACTCAGCATTTGTTAGATGGGTCTTATTTTGGCATAAAACTCTGCTATTAGGTCTCATATGATCTTATGATGACAGTTGTGACAGGCTAGGCATGGAAAAAACACAACACAATGAGTATTAACAGTACTATGTGACCAAGTGTAAAGGAAAATGAGGACATGCCATGAGTCCTAGTATTACAGAGTCATGACTGATGACACATGAGATTCCGATCCAACACATATGGCTGTAAGTAAAGCTGCTGCTGTGCTCGACAGCAAGCCAGGAGATTAACAGATGAGAGCCCAGGATGTGACTAATACCAGCTAGAGTATGGCAGAGTGAACTTACTGTTTACATGACCTAAAACTACAAAATCCATGGCAGCCGGGGGAAAATAAACAAAACAAAAACAGTCAGCAGTTTGGGAATAATCCCTTTATTTCAAAGGCATTCTCTATATAAACCCTTTTAAACACACGATTGAGTAATGCAAAACACAAGACTGAATTAAACAGATATTTTGACACTGAGTGAGACCAAAAAAGGCTTTTGCCTTTTCAGAAAACCTGTTTGAACTGTTTTTTTTATCAAGCCCTTAAGAGATATTTCTGAATAATTTAAAGGGAGAGTTTTGATATGCGTTTCCAAGGAAACTGGGATACATGCTCATTCAACACAAAAGGAACAAGAAACCTGATTCAAACAAGATAATAGCTGTAAATATATTCCATTCACAGAATGCTTGATTATTGTAACAGTTCTCTCTGCTGGGATTTATTCTTCTCTAAATTATTCAGAAGTGCTTTTCTCATAAAAGAACTTAAACAAAGGACAAGTTCTCTGAAGATGAGACCCTTATACACAACCTTTCCTTGTTTATATACTTGACTGCATCTTTTTGTCTCATCAATGAGCATCTTGAAGTGGCTTATAATGTGTGTTAAGTACAGTGACGTTAAATTCAAAACTCTAAAACATACATGGACAGGTTTTACTAATTCAAAGCCATTTTAGAACAAATAAACTACATTTACTGTTGAGTCTTCACTAAACTCTTCAAACATGACATTAGAAGACTTCCCAGCATGCATTGCTTGAGGGTTAAAACTCTCCAATTTGTCTTTTAATACATGTAAATCAGTTAATAGAACTGTTTTTACTCAAGTTCAGCTTGCTTTCACATTTTCACAACTCACGAGCCGAGTGAACAATTTATTAAAGTTTTGTTAACTCACATTTTGAAGTTTACAGTGTACGAGTAATGATTAAAGGGTCGGGTAGGGATGTCACGGTACCAGACATTTAGTAGTCGATACCAGTACCAGTGAAATTTCACAATTCTCCATACCAATTCAATACCACAGTACAGGTGAATAGCTCTGCCTTGCATTAGGAAAAAATCCCCTGCAACCAAGCTGTTCTTTAGTGTTTTTTATACATAATATATTAATATGAATATAGCCAATATATATACAGTTATATATAATTATATATACAGTTTCAGTGCAGCCTTTACCTGGGTTACCTGAATTAATTGTATTCTTCTAAGTGTTTATTTTCCTCATCCATCTAAAAAACACAGTCTATCCTCATAGTTTTGGTATTATTTATGATTTTTGAGATATCTTTCTCTAAGATTTATGCCTCCAAAGCAACATAATAGAAGTGAATGGAATTTTGTTACAGTTTCTAAAATTATAATATAGAGAATAATAATAGAGAGAATAGTCACTGAAACAAATACAAATACAGCACTCACCCTCAAGTGGGATGATGACGGCTGCAGTCGTATGAAAGGCACAAATACAGGTGATCACGCCCAGTGCGGCGACCAATCCCAGAATCCTCTGCAACCTCATGGCTTTCATGGTTGAATCTTTGTCCTCAAGAAACAAGTCTTCTCTCTCTCTCTCCCCCGTACGTCCTCAGTTCATTTCTCTGGCACGAAGAAGATGCGGTACCTGTGAAGGCAGCACAGACGGAAAAGGCCCCATGAATCCACCCACGCGCTGGCAGACGGAAAAGGCAAACCCCAAACAGAACAAATCCCCCGTGACTGGGAGCCCGACTGCTCTCTGCTCAGCCAGGCATAACCAGACACACACACCGCACACTTTCATTTGCATCAACAGGGACTCTGTTCTGTGCTAGTTCAAATTTTGCTGCGACAAAGAAATATTCACATTAAAGCCTCCTATCACCCCCTTCCCCCTGGGACTCAAACTGTTTTGTAGTTTGATGTCTGTGGAAGTGTGTAGCAGAAATTGTATTTTCCATGCGAACAATGGAAATAAATAAATAAACGAATGAAGGAGCCTGTGGATTTATTAATGCATGGCAGATGTTCAGCATTACTGGAAGAAAAAGGCATTTAGATTAGAATCAAAATTACCATCAAAGTTAAGATACTATTCAGCCGATTCAATCGCGGTGCTGTTTGGATCTGTGCCTGCATGTTCCTGATAATAATGACTCAAACAGATTAACAATACAGCAACACATTTATCTATCATTGCAGCAAATGTTGGTGCCTGAGGGGTGTTAGGCATAAATAGCATACATAGTTAACAGTCAGAAAGAGTAAGCTGTCTGCACTCGCATACTGACAGGCTGAACAGTACAGAGCACTGGATCATTTTCCAGCCAACAGAGCAGAGTCTGGACCATAATGAGCACATGATCGGTCCAGAATGCAGGAAGAGGACGGAAAAGAGCGATGTATGGGAATCTTAGTGTCTGTAGCAGAGCTCTGTTAACCCTCTGGGGTGTTAGTTCATTAGTCTTCCTCGTGTTGGCTGTGACCCAGCTCAGTAGGTCATGCCGGAGTAATTAGCTGAACAGCGAACACACCCACCATAATATTAAAAACAAAAAGAAAAATAATAGGAAAACATCAGAGCTTTAGAGAAATCTACAGGGAGTTTTGCTGGTGGTAATGTGAAAAAGAACTGGTTTACCATGCAAGGAGCATTGCACTGATGAAGTCCAGTAATTGTAATTGCTGTATCAGTGTTGATGGGGCATCAAACTGGTGTCAAAGGAGGCAAGACACGAGCTGTGTACAGTGCATTCTCTACCAGCTGTGCAGTGTCTAGAAAAGAGCTTGCTGTTCACACTGGTGCTTGAATCCAATTCGGACTCTTTTAACATCTTTTCTCTGGCTTTACAACCTCAATAGGAAAACACTGAGGTCAAACTCCAGTTCAGGAGATGTAATTGAATAATTGAGCAGGGAACAATAGAGTCGATTTCAATGCTTTTGGTGCAGGTCTGTTTTCAGATGAACGTGCACTCTGAACTTTTCAACCGGGCCCCGTGTTAATGGTATTAACTCTGTCTGTGACTCAATACCGGGTTTTCTGAAGCAGCTCATGACCCCTGCCCCACCCACCTACAGCATCAACAAGGCTCGAGACTCTGGGTGTGCTATACATAATACACATCTGCCCCACTCAATCACAAGTCAGGCCTATTGACTTGATTTCCAACTGAAGATTTGTGTCTCGGAGTTATAAGTCATCCAGAAAACGCCTTAGGCTGTGCTTTGTTTCAGTCTTTCCCAGACATGGTGATTTATGTTGCTAAACACAGATTCAAATCAAAAGGTAAGGGCTTTGTGCTAATTGGCTTGCGCTTTGTTGGTAAGATTGGCCTGGTTAAAAGGGAGAGTAGGGAGGGGGTTACAATCCCCAGAAGACAATGTGTACTCATTGTCCTATTGTGCTGGCCAAAATCCTTTACCAACCAAACACCACCTTAGATGGATTACACTTTGTTCACACTGTGCTTGATGGTTTGCCTTCTGATTTAATTTGTTCTCCCCTCGTTAAACATTTATTGAGAACCAGTTTGGCCATCTGGTTGAGGGAGGTCCGCTCTTTGGGTATAACTGCTGGGAGTGATGAGTGAGTCTACATTGAACTCCTAGGGTACCTATATGATGCACACAAGAGGGGTCCCCCCTAAGGCTTGGCTGATTTACAGACCGCGGGGCTGTTCTTAATCCCCGCCCCTCTCAGCAGCGATCACAGCCGCCTGAGATTGATGAAGCTGGCAGGAGGTTAAAAGCTGCTCACTGTGGGAAGGCCAATATGAACCCTAACCTTACTTAGCCAAGGCTCAGAGGGGACAGAAGCTCTACGGTGGAGGGGGGGGAACGTAGAGGGAAATGAAGCGATGTGGGCCAAGTGAAATCTGCCTCCGTACTTTAAAGCTCCCTCTGAGTGACAGATGTAGAGCACTCACCAACAAACTTTCTCCTTGTCAACACCAAATCACTTCTGAATATAGACCAATTTGATGCAAAGGCATTGTAACCTAATTTTTCCCATCATCATTAACGCCTCTTAAATCCTCATTGATCACGTTCCTTTTCTTCATAGCAGTTGGTATTGACATATATCATGACATAAATGAAATCTTGAGCTTGCAGTTTCTTTTAATCTTGTCAGTCTAAATCCATGAATCCCACAGAGTGAAATGTTTACAGCTTACATCTTGGGTCAATTTTGCATCAGTTAAAATCTCTCATTACTCTCACGGTATCTATATGCACGTCATTTTCCATTAAAATAGCAAAGACATACTTGATGTATCTAAGAGGTGAAATCACACAGAAACATTCTAGTTTTTCACAGTTTCTTTCGTTCCACGGGATGGATCTAATTGCCAGTGTTTGAGGGAGTAGGCGATGCTCTCTGAATGCTTTCTGGCATTGCTTCAGGTGATAAATGTAGTCTGTGATATTTCCCCGTTTTTGTTGGCACAGATTTTCAGTTCAGTTAACAGTATCACAGTCACCTACAGTATCTGTGTCATTTTAACCTCTTGTAGCCTATCTCTGTTTGGAACGGTCCCGTTCACTGAGAGTACAAACTGGGCTTTAAGTAGTCAAAGTATCGCCACACCACTGATGTCTTGTTGCCTTGTTTTTAACAGCTCTTTACATTAAAGAGTTGTTGGTTTCTGTAACAAGAAAACATTTCCTCAGAGGAATGGTAAATGGACTGCATTTATACAGCACTTTTCTGGTCTATCGACCACTCAAAGAGCTTTACAACACATGCCAACATTCACCCATTCACACAGCATTCATACTCTTAAGGCAAAGGCTGCTATGCATGGTACCAACCTGCTCATCAGGAACAGTTAAGAATTCAACACTCTCTCTGGAGGAGCTGAGGATCGAACCGGGAACCTTCAAATCACTAGACGACCACTCTACCTCCTGATCCTTGCTATGCCAATGAGGAAGAGCTCATCTCTTCGATATCCGACATTTGATACCAAAATAAAAGCATGTGGTGTGTTTGGCTGACTAAACCAACCCTATGGTACTTATTTTAAAAATGTTATATAATTGGTTAAAAATGGCTTCATTTGTGATTGGATGTAGGACTGCGCAATATGGTAAAAACATCACATTGCGATTATTTTGACAGATCTCTCGATTGTAATATAACTCACCATTATTGCATCAGAAATGTAATCTTAACATTTAAGACTATTAAAATCATGATGACATGAAATTTGGTGGTCTCTTAATGTAGAGAACAAGATCCGTAGGCCAGGGCCTCTCTGCACACACTACACTACAGTACTTCATTAAAATGCTGTTTTGTCACACATCTGTCACACACAACTGTGATTTTCATATTGGCCATATTTTGTGAATATTTAGATAAATTGTGCAGCTTTAATAGGATATCATAGGTTTGTTAAGAATGTAACCTATCAACATAATATATATATATATATTATTATTATTATTATATTTCAAATTGTTGTTTCAAGAAAGTGTCCTATGGCAACCAGCCTTTATACTGTATCACCCAGCTCTTGCACTATAATTCTCTTGTTAGTGTGTTTGGAGAGAGTCTTTCCTCAAACTCTGGCACACTTCTACGGTAAAACTGGCAAGCATTGTCTGTTTCTTGCCTCTTACAGTTCAGCCATCTGGTCCACCATTACACCTAAACTCTGGCCCATAAACACGTTTACACACATAAAGGAACGAAAATAATAAATATAAAGAAAAATGAAGTAACAAAAGCACCGCCACAGCAAGTTGTTTCCTGGAGCATTCTCCGCACTTGTGGATATGTTGTTTAGTAACGGGGTGGGGCCCAGGCGCTACCATTCAAAGTTCACTACAGTAGGCTGTTGAGCTGGCACCATCTGCTTCTTTTTCACACAAAGACAACAGGCAGAGAAGTGTGGGCCTACTGTAGTTTAATGTGCAAGCTTGTAATAGGATTAAGCAGATCCTCGTCTTGTCAGGCTGGATTAGAATATTCTCTTCGCTAAAGACCTGAGACGGGTAGACAGCAGCTCCACACTCCCCTCTCACAGTCCTGATAATGCCTCCACACTGATTCCCATTTGATCATTCAAGAACAATTAAAACAACGGCCGAGCTGATTAACACTAAGCGGCAATTGACTCGCGTTGCTTCTGATGTGTGTAATGGGAGTTTTTTCGGGCGTCATTTTTGCTCATTTAGCTTGCAAATTGTATAAGTTGTAAAACTTTTTGATGTAGAAATTCATTTTCCTCTCTTTTTCCTTGCTCTTCTGAATTTGAAATAGATTGTATTCTGACCTTTGCCAGTGATTCGCATGATCAGTATTCTACTACAAGCTTAGCCATGCAGTTCATCTATTATTAAAACATTAATAGCATGAGAAAAAACAGAAACAAGACGCTGAATGAGACTAGGAAGTGGGAGCAATATTAGATAATATGCTTGTCTAATTGAGATTTGGCTTGATTTTACTGCACTTCAGACGGCATGACAGTTCAATTATCACACCATGAATATTTCAGGGGTCTGTAGCTTTGGTGGGATGAGGGGACTGGGGGCTGGGGCTGGACAGTGACAGGAGGTGGATGAAGGAGGAGGAGGAGGCAGAGGGTGGAGGAATGAGGAGAGGCTCTCAGGTGTGGAGGAATGAGTTTGGAGAAAGAGATAGAGCGGCTGAACTGATGAACTGTGGGGATTGTGACCCGTGTTCTATATGAGCTAATGAAGAACGGCCCTCGTGACCCCACATGAACTCCCCTCGCCAGGGAGAGAGTGGGATACACCATATATAACCTGCAGTGACCCTGCAGAGCCTCATACAGAGCTACAGCAGGATGACGCTGTCACCAGCTGGGACTGGACAGCCTGGAGCAAGTGAATGTATCATGTAGCTCATTTGAAAATAAAAGCGAGAGAACAAGTGAAGAGGTTTTCAACCACTAGAGGTTTTTATCTTGTCAGTGATGTGCTTTCCATTTTTTCATGAACAAAGAGCATGAAGGCCTTCCGCAGCCTCTAATTAGTTGTTCTTTTGTGTGTCTGAAAGCTGTTTGTCTCTGTAAAATAAAAGTTCTGCTCACAATACTCAGCCAGAAAAAGAATAAAAACTGTACCGAATAAAACCTACAGTAGCATCTCCATCCCTGCTTCGGATTACGACTTTTAATTCCATTCTCTTGCATAATTTAAATGTTGAATGAAAACACTTAAACTGATCACCAGAGCGCGTCCCCTGACATGATAATAAATCATGTATGTGACTGTATGTGCTTTGAAGGATAATGCCACATAAGTGATGCTGTCAGAGTCCTCACTTTGAACCTGTTAATATGTTTAAAGCAAAAGAAAAGGTTTCAGAAAGTGCACTGCACCTGTCTGCATCACGGCTTACAGCTTCTTTTTTTTTTTCATTTTGCCTCTGATCTGCTCTCTTTGAAGTCCCACAGGAGTGGCCCTTGCCCAGGACAATAATCACATTAGTGTGTGATCCTGAGTAGCCGGCAGAGAGATGAATTCACAGGCTGGACTGCGGGTACTAGGAATATTATTTTGTGAGAACTAACACAGCGTGCTCCTCTCCACATTCATTCACTTCGTCTGAGTGATGCTGGCAATTTCCCCAGACGAAACTGTGCCGCGGCAAGACATGATCGATGGCTCTTATATCCCAAATCCTTACCTCCATCAGACCCCGGAGCAATTTATTTCTGCCAACAGCCAAGAATTTCTGATGTCCCTACAGCACACACAGAGCAGCAGTGGAACCGCATTTTTTACACATATACCTTTGCTGCTTCATCCATATTTTTTTTTAATCCCTTCAGGTGTTCAATATACACAGAGTCAAAGTCATAATTTCAGCCTGTGAAATGAGAGCTTCTCTGCCGACTGTAATTCGGCATTTGAATTTCCTGTTCCGTGCTGCAGCCGAGCATCTGGACAGCGTTAACTCTGGGTAAGCTGTTTGACGCAGCTGTCGGATATGTGGCCCAGTTCCTGTGCCTCTCCATCACTTAATAGGGTCGAGCTGAGGTTGTGTTGAGACAAATCCAATGGACCAGACGCCCAAGATTTACGGTTTTAAAATATGACAGGGCAGAATCTCACTATTTACACTGTACGCTCATACAGAAACAACAATAAAACCATCGCAATAAGTCATTTAATCTAATACTTTCTTCTTCTTCTTAAAAATGTGATATAGTTGTACATTTCTAGTCTCTAGTTGCATCAAACAGCAGTTTATGAACACATTAGTACAAATTAGTAGCAAAAACTAATCCAGTCTAATACAACAAGCCTGCAATAAATCCTTCCTACAATGTTTAGTTTGTGTTGAAACTAAATCAGACCATGTTTCTATAGTTGTGTCCACCCCATTTATATCAATGTGGGTAGGCTAAATAACAGAAATACCTCTCTGTATGAAGCAATACAATTCAACAGCACTGCAAATAGCAGCTTCCAATGTGATCATAAAGTTCAAGAGCATAAGCTTGATTTTGGAAAATGTTGTTAGTTACCTAATAAACTGGCAGCTGAGTGTATTTCATTCACTATTTGCACTGAATGCACATTTTTGTTACCAAATAGACAGGAGAGACAGGAAGGAGCCTCATGTTTCCACTTTGTCTTCAACTCTCAACTGAAACTAATTTGTCTCTGTTGCATTAAGACCTGCCTCTAAAACAATTCTCTTCAGACAGTGAACAACAGCAAGATGCTTCCGACACCAACTGAAGCAAATTAGTTTGGTTACACTTACACATACAGCAACTACAGTACAAAGCTTAGAAACGCAATCAAAAGCAGTATAAAGTACTGAACATCTATCATTTCAGAATAAGTAACATGAATCTATAACCTTGTATATGAAGAATGAGCAAGCATTTAAGCAAAGTTATCTCACAATAAAAATGTTCTACATTGTCTGTATCATCAAAATGTTCCGCCTGCAATAAATGTAAATAAAACTAATTGGTCTCCAGCGATGCCCCTGGAGTTCAGTTTGAAAGTCATTACCATTACTGTTCAGTGTCTGTCTGATGTAAATTTGCTTTGGCAAGAGGCAGAATGTACTTAAGTGAACATGGATACAGTCTGGATTTGTTTAGTGACTGATCCAGAAATTACCCTGACATACTGCACTGTATATTTAAAAGAGTGAAATTTATGGCTTCTTCAAGCTAAAATCATGAACTATGAGGCCTGAAAATACAGATTTTTTTTTTGGAATCTCATGAAACCCTGAGCCTGTTCCTGTGAAACAAAAGAGGAGCTTTAACCTAGATTGAAGCCAGCTGGTGTATTCATTTTGTGTGACTATTCTCACAAACCTCAAATGTGTTTAGTCATTCAGAAAACAACTGGCACTGACTAAAGGAATTTTAGTTTTAACACGCTTTGCATACTTGCTCCTTATATTAAATCTTATCTAATTGGTATTCTTCCAGATTTACAGCTGCAAACACTACAGCTGGTACATTTAACTTGTCGTGTATCTCACATGTGCTTCACAAATATTACCCTTCTCAGATTAGACATTTTAGTAAACAAGACAAGGACATCAACATTTTCATTGTTGTAAATTGGTGATTTTTCTGCAACAAGTATTTGGATTTGCAAAGTTTTGAAGAGTACTTTGTTTATTCCAAAAGCTGATTTCTGGCTTGGTCTGTGTCTGTGGTCTCATAGAAACAAGACAAACATTTTGACATTTTCACTTACAATAAAATACTAATTAATTATGAATAAAAAACTGTAATGGAGGCTTTTTCTACTACAGGATAGTTAATACGTTTTCATGTTAAAGTATATTATATTCACACAAAGCAATAAAAAAAATCTAACGTAACTGTGGCAATTCATTCACACAACTCATTCACAATGTGAATCAAATCAAATGATTTTCATGTTTGCTTTCATAGAAAGAAAATCTACTGAATGTCTGCCAGAGTGTTTCCTGCAAATGGAAACACCAAAACATGCTTAACCCAAATCTGCTGCCACAGCTTTATATACACATCCCTAGATACCACGGGATACTTACAAGATTTCACTTCATTCTCAGCTCTGGTCCCCATGAGAGGTGTAAATATTCCATTCCAGGTAACAACATCCACAAGAAAGAGGAAACCATGAGTTAGGGTAAAACTAGCTTTGCAGGAAAATGGAGAGTGCTGAGCCTGTTCTGTGTTGTGTCATACAGGCTGGAGACAGAGAGGAACAGAGGCACTGTAGTCACATATGTTGCCAAAGCCTCTAGCTTGGCAAAGACGCTCATTAAGCCACTGACAATCATCCCCACAAAGCCTGATCTAAAGGCTATTCACCGGGTGTGTACAAAGGAGAGTAGAGGAATGCAAGTTCCATCTCGTCCCCCCTCTTCAGTGTCATGAAAGATGTTTGCTGCACCTGAAGGCTCAATGAAAAGTGTTTATTTGCATTGAAGCAATTGAAGAAAAAATATGAACAGTATAGTAGGGGGGCGCACAGATCACCTGCTGTGTGAAAATCTGTTAAGTTTTGCTCCTGCTGCAATCTTCCTCTGTCAGCCTGTGACAATCTGCTTAATTGTTAATACTGCTGAAGATTGTCGGCCAGCATTAGTCCACCACTGTCAGGGCTTTGAAGAACACTTCTCTCTTCCGACTGTAAAAGGACATTTGATGGAAAAATCTATGAATCTGAAATTATAATTTTTTTATTTTGTAGTACGCGACTGGATTCAAGTGGACCTGATTGTTGGATGGGGCCCGACTCCACGACTATACGCATGGACTTGAGAGGAGGCTGGGTGACATGTCAGTGGAAAGCTCAGTGCACAGGGAGTGCTGAGACTGTCGATAAGAGTCCTACACACACACACACACACACACACACACACACACACACACACACACACAAAGCCGCAGTCTCTCTCCCACGACACAGAAGGGGGAAGGGAGGAAGCACCCCCAGTCTGGATGATGTATGGTGTGGACCCTAGACTGAGACTTGGGTTTTAACCGGGAGAAAAGGCAGAAAATGAAAGGGGGAGGAGGGTCATGCTTGAATTATGCTGATGTGGGTCGTAACCGCGGTGAAGAACCAACCAAAGGCGCTGCTGCTTCGCCGGGGCACTTGCAGCCACAAATAAGGTTATTATCACTCGGGCCTCACAAATGCTGACAGTTGGGGAATGGTGGAGGTGAGATTGTGTACCTTTATAGGACTGGACAGATATATTTAGTCGTTTAGCGGCTAGGAAATTTAAATATTCCCATTTTACAAGGGAAAAAATTAATCTATTTCAACCGACTATGACTAATTGCATTTAAAGTACATCGCCTGCTTTTTCTGTTATATTGAATATAAATCAGCTTGATTTAACTTGATGTAGCTTTCTTTGCTCGCTATTTGAGTAAATGGACGGACTGAAGAGAGCAGACTTTTCATTTTATCTAGCTTGAGGGTTTCATTTAGCAAATTGGGTTTAAAAGACAGACGGAGAACATGATGAAGGAAGTGCTGAGACTGGAGGCTGAGATTCTGAGCTGTCAATGGGGAGGGGGTAGGGGGGGGACACTGGTCTTTTCATAATGAGAGCAGTCAGCCAAAGTCAGTAACTGAGAACACTCACAAGCCTCTGCAGCGCCAGCGCAAGGCCCTTAGAGCCCATAAGCACTCTTTGAGCTACAACAGGATGGAGCTGCCATTATGGCCACACAAACAGAGGGAAGCCTTATGAACTTTGCACAAATGCTTAGTGCTCCGGGGCTGGACAGCTCTGGAAAGCCGGGGGGAGATGGGTAGGTACCGGGGCGGGCTGCCAGTTCCGAAAAGCTTAGTGTTCATGCACTCGGGCCAGACAAACCTGACATTGTCCTGGGCACTGCCCCGGGGACAGCCTCTTCCCCTTTCTCTCCGCCACTCCGGCTCATTCACACTTCCAGCCCGGTTGATTCACTGGTTTGGACATGACTTACAGAGGCAAGAAGGCAAACATTTATTCACACTTTGAACCAGTTGTTGAAAATGCCATTAAAAAGTCAGGCAGAAAGTGCAAGCAGATCACAGAACTCAGCGAACTCTCATAAATTCAATCGGCTTATTTTATGCCATCACCATGCTTCGCTGGCACCTGATGTGTCATTTGTCACATTTCTCAGTCTGATACGGTTTGGGACATGCACTCTGACTTCACTTGGGTAGGACTCGTTCAGAAATTCAATTTAAAGTGAGATAATCCACTGCGCTCTCACTGTAAATGTTTACAACATCTTTAATTTATGAGACATCTCTTATCTCCCTCCAGCAGCAATCACTTAATGTTATCTGACCGCTACAAGATGGAGGTCTACGGCCGTATCCTGTCACTGGAATTAAAATAATGCTCTCTTGACCTAATGCCCCCCTTTGGGCAAGACCAAACAACGGCATGCGCATTCAAAACGAAAGCAATGTTGCTCCCCCACTCTGTGATGTGAGAGCAGAGAAAGAAAAATGCAGGTGGTCACAGTTCATGGCCCCACTCACACTTCAAAATGTAGCAATGTGTTTCCAAAGCAAGTGCTCACCAAACATCTCCTTCAACCTGGTAAGATTAGATCAATGTTAAAAACAATAAAGAGCAAAACTAAGATGACAAGGACAACCAGATTGCTGAGGTGGCATGAAGACTGACACTTCTCCCGCCATTTGGCAAATATGCTGCTTACACACAGTGTGAGACTTTTAATTGAACTTCGGGCACACTGCCCATTCCTCCAAAAAGTCGTCTGTTACTCAGTCTGTCAAAAACGGTCAATAAGCCTCTAACCTGGCACTCGCAGATAGAGCCAGAGCAACCTGCCTATGGCTGATATCATGAGCTTTATTCCCAGAGCTCTGAATCAATATGAAAACCAGTGCATTTCAGTGTATGGTTTTTTTTATAAGTTGTCATGGTAACAGGTGTCCCTATCCTTACACTGATCAGTGAGACATTGATGAAAAGTTGTCCTGTGTTGATGGCTTGTGGAGCTGTTTACTGCAACATGCTACGTGAGTGTGTTTATACATTTATGGGAATTCCATCACAAACTCTATTTGAACACAGCAAGAGTCCGTGCATTGTGACGGGATGTGACTGCGGATGTTTATGACCTGTGACTGCAAATGAAAAACAGACAAAATTCCAGCAATGAAATTGCCCACATTTATGTGTAATTCTCCATTATCCGTGGCATTTTAACAATCTTCTCAATTATTTCCAGATACGTGCTGACAGCTGATTTATTCAGAGCGGCTCACTACAGAGAAACTGATCAAACAACAGATCCCTAAAAACACATAAATCAAAAAACATCAGAGGGTGCACACATCCTGTGGTTTATCTGAACTATACAAAATGCTTAATATTGTAATAGTGCAGAAGTGTCTCCAAGCAAGTGCTAAGTGGTTCCAGGTCTTTCAAGACAAGAAAAATAGCACACTCATAGGAGATTGAAGGCCGGACCGACTGCAGCCCTGTGAGCACAGAGACTGTACCAGACTGTCATCCAGCTCTCTCAGCCAGACTGCCGGCCATCAGAGCATCACAGATGGTGCACTCAGTGATCATGGCAGTGATCAGGGGATCTCTACTCCTGATTAGCACACCTACTGAACACAATGTGCACAACAACGTCTGTTCCATCTCTGGCTGCACAACGCCTACAGTAAGCAAACAGGACAGCGAAATTAAGCAAATGCACTGTCTCTTACAAAGCTGCACAGATCATCATATGAGATGACCAGAACTATGTAGCCCCAACTAAAACTTGAAGCAACATAAATGTGTCGACAATTTCTTAAAAAAAAATAGAAAGAAGCAATTCATTTAACCAGATCAAAGAGGAAATAGTATACCAGAACCCGGACAAAAGCAGACTGGCTCTTATCCTTTCTTATCTTCTCTCCTGTAGACAAGTTCAGATGAAGTGTCCACTTAGACCTCAATTTAATCATGTTTCCCCCAAGAATCAATAAGCTATTTCCCTCAGGTCACATTTAGAAATGGAAAAGGCCTCTACTCTACAGCTATTTAGAGTGTGTACTCAGCTGACAGAGAATGCAGAGGCAAACATAAGCTTGAAAATGAATTCATTAAGATAAATGCAGTGTCTCTTAGTAAAATGTGTAGGCATGGTAACCAGACTTGGCTCTGCTTTGAGATACACCCTGGACACACACAGCCTTCCAAATGGTTGGAGGGGATCAGCATACTCATATTGGCGCACACACACACATTGTGCGCAAACACACATGCACAGACCTGGTCTCACGAATGCACACTCTATCCTGAATCAAATCCCCTCTCCAGAGAGGGTGGGCTCAGTTGTAATGCGCTAGAAAGGTCCTGCAGGCAGGAAGCTAAATGAGAAGATGATCATCGTCATCAGTAGCAGCCCACCTGTCAGAGAAAGGGTTCATCAGGAAACACTCAAGGCACTAGCAACGTGTTCTCCTCAATAGTATCATGCCAACAAGTAGGATTAATTATTTCCGGAAAACAAGCTTTTTTTTCCGCCTATAGTCCTATGACAAGGGAAAGCAGGGCAGATAATTTAGTTGCACGCCCACTCATAATAAGCAGTAAGGATCTAATAGCCATTTAAGGAGTGGCCTGCTGGCCACCTTTTCACACACACATCTCGAGGTCAGCCCTTTAGGAGCACTGAGGCAGAGCAGCCCGTCGCGCTACACAGTTAATCCTGCGGTGGAAAATGTCGGTGGGATCCGTCTCACATGGACGCACAGCAAGAGATGAGGAGGCAGACCAATATTTGAGGCGAATTAAAGTGTGTGTGTGTGTGTGTGTGTGTGTGTGAAGAGGGTTGGGGGTGTTGAGGGCGAGGCCTTGTGTGTGTGTTTTTACACAGACATGCTCATCAATAGGCTGGCTGCACAACTTTTCAAGCTCCATCCTCATGGCCATTCACTGAGCACATAAAAAGAACACAGGCTGGTCTACTTCAGTGTGTGTGTGGGCTGACCCTAGTGTCTGGATGTTACTTTGCCTTAGCAACACTGGGAAACCCTTAATTCTCCAATATTTACCTTAAAATATGTCCATTTAGGAGAACGCACCATGCAACAGTACCCCACATGTCTTTGTTGTCTTTAGTTTTGATCATGGGAAGCGTACAATGGTGGGAAACCAGTAGCCCTATTATTCTCAGAGCCTCTCTTGATAGCCAATTAGCTTGTGTCAGTAGAAGTAGCCCACAGGCACAGTTCTGCAAAGTTCACCAGGAGACACACTACAATGCAAATATCCCTTCTGGCTTCACT